ACCACTGTGTGGTAGACTGGGGTGTTGCAGTGTATTTTGATTATTTCTCTTCTCCTAACCACCACTGTGTGGTAGACTGGAGTTTTGCAGTGCATTTCGTTTATTTCTCTTCTCCTAACCACCACTGTGTGGTAGACTAGGGTGTCGCAGTGTATTTTGATTATTTCTCTTCTTCTAACCACCACTGTGTGGTAGACTGCGGTGTTACAGTGTATTTTGATTATTTCTCTTCTCCTAACCACCGCTGTGTAGTAGACTGGTGTGGTGCAGTGTGTTTTGATTATTTCTCAGCTATAACCACCACTGTGTGGTAGACTGGGGTGTTGCAGTGTATTTTGATTATTTCTCTTCTCCTAACCACCACTGTGTGGTAGACGGGAGTGTTGCAGTGCATTTCGTTTATTTCTCTTCTCCTAACCACCACTGCGTGGTCGACTGGGGTGTTGCAATGTATCATGATTATTTCTATTCTCCTAACCACCATTTTGTGCTAGACTGGGGTATAGCAGTGTATTTTCTCTGATCTCCTAACGTAACCCTCGCTGTTTGTTAGACTAGGCTGCTCCAGCGGATTGTTTCTCTTCTCCTAACCACCACTGTGTGGTAGCCTTCGTCTTGGCAGTGCATTTCGATACCTTATCAGTGTATTTATAAAAGCCAAAGCTATCAACATTCGGTACAGCGATTGGAGGATTGAAATGACACTTATAGTTTGGCCAGGTGACATCAATATGGAAGTGGTGTCTTACATCCCAAGCCGTCAGTGCTGTGCAGTCAGAACAATTGTATCCTCGAACATCAATGAATTTGAACCTCCTGCATATCAGTGAATACGCTGTTACTGTTTTAAGAATGTCGACATCACTCAAGCGACCGATCAGAAGGTCGGGAGTCAACGACACTCTATTTGGGAAATCGCATGTGGCTCTGAACAAGGTGGATTTGGAACGAATTTCTTTCATTCTCTTTAGAGATGAACGATAAAGATCAAAGTTTGGACTGTCTTCGTTTTTAGGAGCGTTTTTGTAAAAGGTTGTGTTCTTGAATGGATTTGCTTTAGAATTGAAAGACTCAATCAGTGTCCAGGCTTGGTTTGGCTTGACAAATGCACAGTAAACTGAAATGGCACTGTTATCGATCTTTATGGCATACACACCATTATTTGGAAATACCTCTGAAGACGCTAAAACATCCATGCAAGATGCCCACACACGTTCCTCACATACTGTTCCTTTATAGTCGATTTTACATTTGCATGTGAACTTTTGCTTTGGTGAGTTGCAATGTTCTACGCATGTCGCTCCGTTCATGCAGGGCTGAGATCGACAACAGCCATTATAGCAAACACCTGGTGTTACCAAGTGGGAGGCCTAAGGGAATAAATGAAATAGAAAAGACTCATTAACAATAATAAATTGTAAGAGAGAATGGCATTGCTTCTTCGATCAAGAATTTTACAACTCACATACCACATGATACATCGTCTGCTTGAGTTCAAAGTGCACGTATCCTTGCTCGTCTAATAACTTTTTTGAAGTCTTGTCCTCATCCAGCAACTCACATCTTGCATCTTTCATCTGGCACGCCTTACAACGACAATCTTGGACACAAGATGAGTAGCATTTGACTGGATTATCAGTGGTGATGTTGTTGTAGGAGTGCCCCTTGATATGTTTTCCATGGAAGATGTCTTGGGCCTCTGGGAAAAGTCTTCCAGAATAGCAGGTGCCAATGCAGTGAGATTGACTTAAGGCACTTTTGATGCACACAGAGATCGTAATAATGAAGTAGTTGAGCTGCATTTCTAACAAAGTTAATGTTTATTATTATATTTAGCAACGTGTTTTTTTTTGTAAAGTACACCGTTATGTTGCGATACTGATGAATAATTAAGAAACGCAATAAGTTATTTGAATTAATCTCAATGTTCTTCTTTTGGTGTTTTCTTTCTTTTCCATCTAGGAGAAGCGGTAGCTATTTTAGTAATCCGAGTAACGAAGTGTTTGCCAAAACTATGCCAAAATTACTAATACTTTTTGTTGGTTTTCTGAACATTAACTGTAATTTTGCAGAATCGAGTCAGGGCAGCTAGTTACTTCATCTGAGTTGGTATTTTTCAAAATGTCATTAAAATGGCATATCATTTCTTTCCCAAAGTCAAGAGCAAGAATGTCTATGGATCAATCTTGCTGTGTTTAACGAAATCTTCCCAACAAAAATTTCAATAAATAAGGACGGCTTCCAGTCGTAAGAATTTTAAAGTAACTAATATGAGAAGGGCCATATCAAATCAAGCTAAATGAGATACCAACCTTTGGATACTGCCTTGGTAAAACTGACGCTCACTGCTCAACAACATTCCCCCAAAGATGTGAAAGTTAATTAACCGACTATGATGAGATTCCTTCCAATTATAGATTTTTCTCGATACTGAACTAGTTATCTCTATTTGAAGTCATTAATATTTTATTAGGCAATTATTCAATTATAATGTTGTTTTTTGTCTTTACATGAAAAACAACACTCGTTCAGCAGTAAAAGCAGCAATTGCATTATGTCTTGACTACATCCTGACGAATATTCACCAATAACAAATAATAACAAATTATGAAATAATTAATAATTATAAAATGATTTAAGCTGTACGTGGAAATATATCCAATGTGTGGTAGACTGGGGTGTTGCAGTGTACAGTTTTGATTATTAATTATTTCTCTTCTCCTAACCACCACTGTGTGGTAGACTGGGGTGTTGCAGTGTATTTTGATTATTTCTCTTCTCCTAACCACCATTGTGTGGTAGACTGGAGTGTTGCAGTGCATTTTGATTCTTGCTCAGTGTGCTCATATTGTCCAAAGCTATCCACGCTGTATTTAGTGTATTTAGGTTTAAAATCGCATCGATTATGGGTCACATCGATGTGGAAGTGCCAATCGTTTGAATGAGCAGTGAAAGCAGTACAGGCTGAACAATTGTACCCTCTAATGTTGATGTGGCCATACCTATAAAATTATATAAACTATATACACCTACTTGCGAAAACGTTGTCATAAAAAATAGGAATTTGTATTTTAGGAAATAGAAATAAATTAAAAAGACAAAAGAAGATCACTGAGGCTGGACKCTTTCTTTTGTTTTGTTTTAATTTATTCCTTTTTACTAAATTCGAATGTCCTATTTTCTATGACAACGTTTCTGCAAGTAGGTGTACATATAAAATTGAAAATTCATTCTCATTATGTTCAAAAGCATGGTTTAAAATTTAAGTCTTGGCATTTGATTGGATCAAAAGTTGTAGATCTAGCGCGTTTGGGTCTTAGTAGAGTTTGACATGGCGCATAATACGCTCATGAACGTCTCGCGACTGAATCGAATGCCGCAAATAGGTGTTATGACAAATCATTAAGTCCACTATACATACAACTGAAACAAGAAAAACAGCAAACAAAATAAAAACAACAAATAAGTACCTTTTGCATCCCAAGACCTTCGTGTCATCCATAATATCGACTTCTTTCAAATGCCCAATCACAAAATCAGACTCAAATGCATTCCTAAGTGGAAAGTCACACGTAGCTCTGAACAAGGTAGAGCTTGAACGAAAAGACTTCATGTCATCCAGGCTTAAACGGTAGGCATCCCAGTTCAGAGGCCTGTCTTGATTTATACTGTAGTTAGCATAGAACGGCTTCGCTTTAAACAAATAGTTGTTCTTTAAGGAAAAAGACTCGATTAAAGTCCAGTATCGGTTTTTGTTTTTGGCAAAGTGACAGTAGATCCGAATTATGTTTTTGGAATCTGTGCGTCTTATAAAATAAACGCCTTTCAAAGACTTCTTCGGACTCAACCGAGTTACAACATCTTTGCAAGATGAATATATTTGTGTTTCGCAGACGTTTCCTCTAAATCTATTTCCACATTCGCAAGTGAACTTTTCTTTTGGTGTACGGCAAAGTTCYTTGCATGTCCCTCCATTCATACAAGGCTGAGATCGACAACAGCCATTATAGCACTGATGAACTCCAGAAGGTATCATGTTGGAGGCCTTAAAGGCAAAATAATAATAAAAAAATAAAAGGTATATTTACATTTTGGAAAGAAAACATATCCAGTGTAACAAGATATACATACCCCTTGGTACATCGTCTGTTTGAGATCAAAGTACACGTATCCTGGCTCATCTGTCAAGGTTATGGAAGTCCTGTCCTCATCCAGCAACTCACATCTTCTATTTTTCATCTGACACGACTTACAACGACAATCTTGGACACAATGATGGTAGCACTTGGCTGGATCATCAGTGGTGATGTTGTTGTAGGAGTATCCTTTGAGATGTTTTCCATGGAAGATGTCTTGGGCCTCTGGGAAAAGTCGTCCAGAATAGCAGGTACCAACGCAGTGAGATTTACAGGGGACTTGTTTAATGAAAACAGAGACTAAAAGTATGAAATAGATCGGTTTCATTGCTGTGTACACTTCAATTTTCTTGTGGTTAATTCAAATGAATTGGGCAGTATGATTTTTAATTTTAGATTGCAGGTGGCCGATGATGAGCTGTATATAATTTCCATCAATTTTCCCTCGGGGAGCCATGATTGAAAAAAATATAGGTGAGGCTTGATATTGATTGAACCATTTTGAAAGAATACCAGTAAGCCATGCATTCAATTATTCACTTGATAATTATATACATGTGTGTCCATCATGTCATAAGATTTTATTTAAGATCTATGCAAATMCTTTTTTCCATATGGGTATTTTTTGGACAGCATCCTCTGGGGTGGCTGATTTACTCGTACTAAGATCTTAAGTCATGATATACAGTCAATCCAATTAAAAAAAGGTCATTAGCATAAAAATGTTTTTAATATTCGCAGGAAGAATTGTAATTATAAACTTTAGATAAATAGCGAATTAACTGTCATTGACACTGTAAAGAAAGACGTTTTGAAGCAAATGCTGAATTTCGCAAAAACTTACAAGTATGATCAGTATATGAAAATGACTTTTTTGCTTTACAATTGAACAATGTTTCAAAATGTTTTAAAATGGATCGACTGTATGACATATTAGAGAATGGTGTTCTATTTTAGAAAAAATAGATTTTGTAATATATATATACAGTGTTCCGACCACTCTTGATAAACAGTTGTAAACAAAAAGTGCAGGTTAATTGTCATGCGGCATAGCTACATGTTCTATGCCCAGGGGCAGTTTGAAAACTAGGAAATATTTGGCACGATTAACTTATTGTTTTCGCACGCCTAGCTTACACATCATGTCAGATGATGATTGCATGTTAAATATGAATCTTTTGTAAAGGGAATACTATGGTAAATTACAGCCCATATTGGCTTATCTCTGGTTTTGTTATCATTTCATATCGATAATCGAGGTAGGCATAAGAACTTAAACACCCGAAATAATGTTATCCAATAATCTCACTGAAATCTTCTCTGAACCAAACAGACATTATTCAGAGCTCTATTTAACAAAATCTTAACAAAAAAGAGATTGAATATTTCTCTTCTCCTAACCACCACTTTGTGGTAGACTGAGGTGTCCCAGTGTATTTTGATCATTTCTTTTCTCCTAACCACCACCGTGTGGTAGACTGAGGTGTCCCAGTGTATTTTGATTATTTCTCTTCTCCTAACCACCACTGTGTGGTAGACTGGGATATTTCAGTGTATTTTGATTATTTCTCTTCTCCTAACCACCACTGTGTGGTAGACTG